ATTCTGGTCAAGGCTTTCTGCACGACAAAGCAGTTTGCAGTGTGGAAGTCGAAGTGGAAGGTTGCCAGGTTTTATTACATCCCAAAAAGAGCCACAACAGAAGCACTGACCCAAATGAATTTTATATACTGTGTAAACCCACATTCGAGTTTATTGCACACATATTTTCAACTACAACACAAAAGCAGTATTACACTCTTAAATCCTACTACTTATTCCTGCGTCTTTTGGGATCTTACAAAGCTTCAAACGACACGTCGACTATTAAATTAGTCGTCGACGATTTTAATAGTCGACGTAATCGTGACTAGTCGACTAATCGTGGCAGCCCTAATCCTAAGAGACTTTACTTTCGACTAATTGGCACAAAACTATGTTGTAATGGAGCATCTCAAATACAGAACACGAATATGAAATGATCTTAAATTTAATTTAAGCTGCATGTTTGGGGGAATCGCACCTCTCTAGCTCACTGCACCGGTTTGAAAACCATTTCACATTTTGAACTCTTATCATCCTCTACACTTAAGGTTGTAAAACACTGAAGGATTTCTGCTGCAGGTAGTGTGAAACTACTTCTGTGTTGATTAAAAGCCTCAAACACCATGGCCAACTAGACAATGAGATAGGGCAAAAAGGCAGAAAAGTTAGAGATCAGCTCCGCCAGCTGGCTTCACCCTTTTGGATGCCTGCTATTTGTCAACAGCTCATAACACCTAGCTGACGATGTCTTAGCTTAAAGCCAAAATGAAATCAATATTCCAGTGCCTGCATATGCCCCCATATATCATCTTACAGCACATAAATCCGATTTAGCCAAATGATTAATAACCCAGTCATGACGGAGTGTCCATGGGCAGATGTGGCTATGAAGTAGAGCCTTCAAGGAGAGATGGGGTGACTGTCCATCCCAATGGCTGTGCTTCATTTAAAATGGTAATTATAAGCTGTGCTTGCATTTGTATAATGGTCTTATTTTTAGGATCATCTGTAGCGAACCAGGCGAGGAAAAAAGAAAGAACTGCAAAGGTTACTGCAGGCTTGGATCTGGGAGCAAACCTCAGCACCACTTCATAACCAACAGGAAATCACTCACATCATGTCTAGATTTTGTTTACAAAAGACATCCTTAAACATCAAAGTGCTGTGCTTAAAGCTTTAGACATACAAAAGACCAAATCGGATCATGCACCCTTCTTACATATGAGAAATTATTTTTAAATGAGGAGAAATGAGGATCTTAAACTAAAACTTGCTATTCATCCATCCAAAAACAAGACAACAGTGTTGGCATCAGAAAAGTGAACTCATCTTCACCGTTTCACTTCAACAAATCTATTTATTGAACTTTGACAAGTATGATAACAAGTGTGGATGTGTAAAAGCAACAACACTTCCATAAACATTACTCATACTGCAACCACGTATAAAAAAAGCGGAAATTGGATAAAAGACATGACAACAAACTGCTATCTCATCTCATCATCGGTTGACAGAACACCATTAAACGCAGAAGACTAAATAAGATGGCTGCACACAGTTTTATTGCTTT